CAGACAAACATACATACACATACAAACAGTTGTTTCGATGAGTTGAACCAGAAATGTGACGGTCGAAGGGATTGTGACGACAACACAGACGAGCGTGGCTGTTGTCACAGAAGTGAATTCGAATGCAGCGATGGTATATTTTTGTATATATTTTTTGTATTTGTCATTTTTGTGTTTTGTATTCTTGTATTTGTATCTGGTGTTGTTTGTTTGTTTGTATAAGTTGTTTGTTTGTGGTTTTGCTTGTATGTGTAGTTTGCTTGTATGAGTTGCTTGTTTGTATAGGCTGTTTGTTTTTATATGTTGTTTGTTTGTATAAGTTGTTTGTATGAGTTGTTTGTATAAGTTTTTTGTTGTTTGTTTGTAAAAGTTGTTTATTATTATACACACTTATACATTCTTGTCATATACAACACGAATTATAATTTGTGTTTGAAAAAAAGTTTAAATACGTTTTGTATTACCAAAAACTATAAATGTTTTTTTTTATCTCGTAACAGGTAAATGTTTGTTCAAGACGGAAGTTTGCGATGGTGAGATAGATTGTAAAGATGGCAGCGATGAAAGGAACTGCTGTAAGTTGATTGATTGATTGATTTATTGATTGATTCATTCATTTATTCATTCATTCATTCACTCGTCTAATCCTTTTTCTATTAATTTATTTGCCCGTCAGCTTATTAATTCAAAACTTTGATAGTTTTCAATTGTAGAAGTCTAATCAACCAACTAACCAATCAAACTAATCAGCTAATCAATCAACGAACCGGTTAATAAGCCAATCAATTAATCAAACCAGCCAATCAAACTAACCAATCAAACTAACCAACCAATCAAACCAATCAAACCAACAAAACCAATCAAACTAACCAACCAATCAAACTAACCAACCAATCAAACTAACCAACCAATCAAACTAACCAACCAATCAAACTAACCAACCAATCAAACTAACCAACTAATCAAACCAACCAATCAAACTAACCAACCAATCAAATCAAACTAACCAACCAATCAAACCAACCAACCAATCAGCTGATCCAGCAGGTCGCCACAACAATTTCTTCAACCCCAACTTTGAAGACCTCCACAACGTCAAGAACAGTCACGACACGGACCACAGTGAAAAAATTGAAGATCACCACGGCAGTCGCGATAATGATGACGATGGTCATGATCATTATTACCACCACCACCACCACGATGATGATGATGATAGTGATGTGAAAACTATTACTAATGTAGAAAAGAAAAACGTCCATATCGGTGGGTTTATTATTATTATTGTTGTTGTTGTTGTTGTATAGCTGTTACTGTTGTTGTTTTATTGTTATTGCTATTTTAAATGAACCGGTGTTTGTTTATTTTTGCTTTCTTTCTGAGATTAATCTTATCTGCAATTTGAGGCGATTGTTGGTCCACTTCATGTGCAGATCACTGGATTACATGACGATGCTGGTGCTGATGATGATGACGACGTTGTTGATGATGATGATGATGGTGGTGGTGTTGGTGGTGGTTTGCTGGCTATGTTATAAACTCGTTTTATCGTTCAAATTATTTTATTTTTATGTCGGATTCTGATATTTTAATAAATAATTAAAACTTGTATTCCTTTATTACCATCCATTTCATCATCATCTTCACCGTCAGCTTCTTCATCGTCACTATCGTCATCATCATCTTCAACATAATGACCTTCATCACACGGACCTTCATTACGCTGACCACCATCAAAATAACCTTTAACATGATGACCTTCATCACAATGACCTTCAAAACCTTCCCAGAGGTTGACACGATATTATGGCATATACCGGTCCCTCACGCTCACAATCTCAACTACAACAACCACAATGACGGCGACCACAATGGCGACCATAGCGGCCACAACGACGACATCAACAAAGATAACACCAACCACAACGATGACGAAAAAAGCTACGCCAGCAACAAACACATAAAACCTCATCCTTCCCACCACCACCACCACAACAACTACAGCAGCAGTAGCCACAGGGAAATAGTTTTGTACAGTGTAAAAGAGGACAAAGAAATCGGAAGAAGAAAGATTTTGCCGGAAACAGCTGATCCCAATATTCGATCTATGGTCTTTGATACTAGAAATGATTTAGCTTTCTGGTTTGACAAGCATTCAATCTATGCGTGAGTTGTTTTAATTTTTGTTGGTTCTTTTTGTTTTTGTGACAGTGTTGTGGTTTTAATAATTATTTTAATAATTATTATTGTTAATTATTTTTATTATAACTTTTGCAGCCATGACCTAAAAAAGCCTGACCTACCAGCAACCAGTGAAAACATTTTGATGACCTTCCCCTCCACCCTTCGACCTACTTCTCTCTTCTACGATTGGAGGAACGAGTACCTCTTCTACTCTGCTATTGGCCGGCCAGTTCGCCACCACACTACGTCTCACATATGCCTCATTCCGATTGGACGGTGGTTGAAAACGAATGAAAAACCAGGGCACAGTCTCATTATGAATGGCACGGATACTTCGGAAGTGCATGGAATTGTGGTAGATTCAAGGATCGGCCATAAGTTCGTAACTACTAATTTATGAAAATTTTAAATATATTGAAAATTTATTTAGCTTAGTTTATCAAGATAATGTTTCGAAAACTGTAACAGTTTTAATTGACAAATAAAATAATGTTAAATTTTAATAAATAAAAAGATAAAAATAAAATTAAAAATAAATCCTTGTCTTCCAAGTTACGTGTACTGGATAGAAGAGCACGGTTTCTTTAGAATGGGAATGGACGGAACAGGAATTGAACGCCTCTTTCCTGAATACAAATTGAATCCTAGAGGGATAACACACGGTTCGTGCGAGTAGTAGATCCGTGTATGTATGTGTGCGTGCGTGTGTTTGTCTGTGTGTGTGTGTGTGTTTGTATTTGTGTGTTTCTGTGTTAATTAGAAGAGTGCATCCAGCTTGTTCCACTTCTTCTCCTCTATTTGATTTGTCTCCATCTGTCTTTCTAGATTTATTAATTTTTATTTCAACACAGATTACATATACGATGGAATATATATCATAGACTGGAATCGAGGTTTGTAATAATAAATAAATAATTAAATTAATTAATAAATAAATAATAATAATAACAACAATAAATAATAAATAATAATAATAATAATAGGTACCCTGTACGAATTTGTAATTGATGACTTCTATCTGAAAGTGATTCTGACGTATCACTCGTTAGAACTTCTACCCAGGTCCATCGTATATCACCAGGTGAGAGACTGAGTGAACGAGTGGAGGAATAAATGAGTGATTGAATGGATGTTATCCTTTCCTGAGTCTGTCTTTTGGATGAATGAATAAGTGAGTGAGTGAATGAATGAATGAGTGAGTGAATGAGTAAACGAGTGATTGATTAATTAAATAAGTAAATATACCAACAAATAAATAAGCATAATTAATGAAAAACTCCCTATAATATACAATGAAACTCAAACACACTACACACCATACAAACAAACACTCTCCAGACATACACTCTCACAGACTAACACACAAACTAAAATACAAACACACACAAACAAACAAACACACAAACAAACAAAACCCAGGATTATCTTATATGGTACGCACCGTCTGAGACAGACATCCAGATATTCACACGTCAAAACAACACGATCGTCAAGCATCTTAATTATAAAACTAGTTTCATTGCGGTCCAACAAGACATTGCAGAAATCGATGGTGGGTTTTTGTTGTTTTTGTTATCTTGCTCTTATTTGAGATCTTTTTTTTAGAGGAGGCTGTTGATGGCTGATTAAGTGAGTGAGAGAGAAGAGAGAGAGAGAGAGAGAAGGAGAGAGAGAGGAGAGAAAGAAAAAGAGAAGTTGATCAATGTATGGCCGGATAAATGAAATGATTGATTGATTGATTAATTGATTGATTAATTGATTGATTGATTGATCGATTAGTCGATAATAAAAGTGAATTAAAAATTACCCCCCAAACAGAATTGGACCAGAGTTTAACTTGCAGCGACAAATCTCACAGCTGCTCCGACATCTGCCTGCCACTGTCGCCAACATCTTTGCCACTTCCATCCTCATCATCCTCATTTGTATGCGCTTGCCTAACTACACACAACAAACATTACAAATTATCTGATGACGGTCTTACGTGTGTAGAAGATACTGATGTAATCCATCTGTACACTGATGATGAACTTGATGGTGCCGGCCATGGTGATGTGGCTAATGGTGATGACAATCTTCATCCTCATATAAATCGCGATCGTAAGTTTTTACGGTGATGGTGCTATTTTGTTGTTGTTGTTGTTGTAACTAGGATGACGTAATTAAGGATGACGATGTTTCTATTGTCGTAATGATGATGAAGATGATGATGGGGTCATAGATATAATGGTAACAATGATGTTTATAATCATGGTGACGTCATTTATGACAGTCGATGACGTCAAATTTTTGAGCCATCTCGATAAATTTCAAACTTTCAACCGTTACAATTCAACCTGATTTTAAACATTCTCTCCAACAGACGCATCAACAACCGACGACAACATTCAACAACAGCACACCAACATTCAGCAACACAAAATCCAACAACAACACAACAACAACAACAAAAACAAAACCTACAACCAAAAAAACTCCGCCGTAATTGACATGGCAAACCAAATGAACGACTACTCAGTCTCCGATGAGGGGGTGGCAAACGCGGGCCAACATGACCTACTTTATGCCTTTGGGGGGTGCATGATCGCCGGGCTCGTCGTCTTAGGGGCACTAGTGAGTTGGAAGGGCCGTCGGGATATTAGATCTAGGTTGAGGTACTGGCAGAATTCGGGCCAGGATAGAATCTGGTCTATAAAGACGGGAGCTTAATAAATTATTATTGTTGTTGTTGCTGTTTTAATAATAATAATAATAATTATGGTTATGATTACTATAATATTAATAATCATAATTATATGAAAATAATTTTAAAAATAATTATTGCAAGAATGGTAGTGTATTGAGGTGTTTAATGTTAACAAAAAGGCTTTAGCACTATTACGATGCTGAGAGTTGTAATAATAATAATAACAATATTATTTGTTGTTATTATTGTTATTGTTTTGAAGATAATTTAGTTTGAAGTAGTTTGAGGTAAGTTAAACTTATTATTTCTGTTATAATAATAATAATATTATTATTATTCATTGTAATAATATCCACAATTAACTTTTTTTGTAGAGTTTCAGTAACAATATAATGATGGCAATAGTAATGAGTATGAAGTTAACCACGGAATTATTTTCGCGCCAAAAAATGATTACCAAAAAATATAAATATTTCCTCCAGGTCGCTGTAAAATTGGTGAAGCGGAAGAAGAAGCTAACAAACCAGGTGTCCATCATCAACGTGAATGGTGATGGCGAGCCGGCTGTGATGATGGCGATGATGTCCAGTGGTAAAAATTCGTCTGACAAACTTCCTCTTAAGCATGATGAGGAGGTTGAAAATGTTGCCTGAGTGAGTGAGTGCGCGAGTGAGTGAGTGAGGGAGTGAGTGAGGGAGGGAGGGAGTGAGTGAGTGAAAGGAAGAATAAGTGGTGGAATGAATGATTGAATGAATATACAAATGAAGAAATATCGAGACACAACAATAAGCTGATGATGACGACGTTATTGTCAGCCTTAGAACTTTTAGTTCACGCAAGATAATTCAAACTAAATCCATTTATAATAATAAAAATTTAGTTTTTTTTCTTGTAGGAAAAATATTTTTTCAAAACAAATTTATTTTTTCCACCTATCCATTCATGCTAACCGTCTGATCATACGGTTTTACCTCATAATGAAAAGGTAATCATTTTAAGTCATGGCTGGTTTGTCGGTTGATTGGTTGGTTAATTGATTGATTGGTTAATTGATTGGCTGATTGGTTTTTCATTTTCCAGAACAAAACTATTGAAGAGAAATTATTATGATGAGAATGCTTTTTGTTTTAACTATCCTATTTATAGTTGTTCATTCACTCATTCATCCGTTCACTTACTCACTCATTCCTCCATTCATTCCATCATTCATTCATCCATTTCTATCATTCAGCTGCCTTATGAATAATTATTTTTTGTGACGTCGTCGTCGTCGTCATTATATTGTTATCATTATTATTGTTGTTGTTACTGTTATTATTATTATTATTACTATTGTTATTTTTTATTATTTTTATCATTATGAAACTTTTTAATAGGACTTTCTACCGCTAAGCTTACATCTCTCTTGTGAACTATTTATACGTATATATACCTTGTATTCAGTGTTAATTACCCATGAGGAAAAATACTATATATATATATATATCACTATTTTAATGCGTTCAGAGCTCACACATATACCCATACATACACACATATATACACATGTATAAACATACACACATGTATATATATATATATATTGTTTAGCAATTTTACATGCTTTGTTTGTGTGCGTGTGTGTGTGTGTGTATTATTATGTACGTAATGTTATGACTATTCATCTATTAATGTTTTCTATCTTTTGTATTAGTGTTGAGATTGATTAGTGGGTGAGATACTGAAAAAAGAGAGTGAATGAATGATTTAGAGAGAGAGAAAGAGAGAGAGAGAATAAATAAATGAATGAATAAATAAATGAATGCTACGATAGATTTGACTTCAGGTGTTGTCCGCAATATCTTATGATTGTCTGAGGTGTAACATTATTTATTTTTAGATTTCCACCTTGTTTTGATGTTTCTATATTTATTTATTTTACACGTATATTTATTTATTTATCGAATTATTTATCTACTGGGTTAAATGTTCACAAAATGATCCCCTACATATTTTCATCTGGTAAAACTAACGTCATATAATTTTCAATTTTTTGACATACGTACGAACAAGTTATTTTTTAATAAAAGAGACAATTTTGTTCCAATGCATTGAGTCGTAAATTTTTAAAACTTCTCTGCAAATGAATAATTCCAATTATAAAAATCTTAACGAACGTGCAGTAGATAAAGAAATGAACGGCGACAAACGAACAAACAAACGAAAGAACATACATCTCAAGAACGTAATATCATGTTACTCTGCTACATATAGTTAGCTAACTTAATTAAAAGCTCTTTCTAATTTTTCGTTTCAAGTCAAGCTTCAGCGAGCACAGGCGATGATGGCTGTTCCTGCTGTTTGGCAACTGAGCCACTTGAATCCGTCTGTGGCTGCGGTGGTGGCTTCGTTCTGGATGGTGGCGACGGCAGGTCTTGGGATGCGCTGCTGATCCTCGCTCTCACCCGGTCGGCCAGCATGGAGGTGCCTGGCGAATGTTCCATTGCAGCTGACTTCTTCTCGCGAACTTTATCGAGGAATCTGCTTTTAAATTCACCACCGCTGCTTGGGTTGCTGTTGCTGCTACTTCCGATGCGATAGTTAGATCCTGTTGAAGAACCGATATCAACGGAAAGTCTGGTCAAGCCGGAACCTGATCGGTAATTGGTTGAAGCGGAACTCGGTGTCGTCGTGTAGCCTCCCAAGTTGCGATCGTAGTGGATGCTACTACTACCACCAACGCCCCCGGATCTTATATCGGATACCGAGAGAGCTCTTTTTGACTTGTTGCCGTAATTATCGTAACTTCCGGACCCGGGATTCGAGTATTTACCGCTTGAATATTTGCCGAGTATGCTTGAGATATCCGACGTATTTGAGCCGGCACCCTTTGTCGTGCCTTTGTAACTTGAGTATAAAAACGAAGATGATGAAGACGACGACGATGGTTCGTATCCATTGTTGGACGCATATGAATTACGGTAACTAGAGTTGGAAGTTGAACTTTTATTGGTCGCAGTTGTGGTTTGTCGATCGTCTGCAGCTGAGCTCGGGTTGAGAAACGAATATTTGTTGCGTATCTTTGCTAAAAAGTCGTCAGCAGAGATACTAGTTGACGTGTCCATCGTCGCCACACTCGCTCTGCTTCTCGGCTTCATCTGTCCCAGGAGGCTACTGCTGCTACTTCCAGAAGTCAGCAGTCCATGTGTGGAGTCGTTGGATTCTTGATTGTTTTGTTAATATTTGTGTGAAATTAAATGAAAATTTTTCAAGTTAATTTTTCTTTAAAAAAATAATAAGATGCCTCTGGCGAATACAAGAAAAATTCTAACCGAAATCGTTGTCCGTGATACTTAATCTATTCCTGTTGGCATTCCCACTACTGCTGTCTCTCCGGCGATCGAACGTCATGGATCCCAGTAAGTAGTCCCTGTCACTGCTGGACCCCCTCCCTCTGCTGGTGGGCGCTGCGTAGGATTGGTAGGGAGAGAGAGAGAAGAAACTGTCCTGTTCGTCAATCAGTCCAGATTGACTCGATATACTGGCCACTCTTCTCTTCGAAAGGTCATCAAATGCTTCTCCGCGATATCCTTTTTTATTTTTCGCACTTTGAATGCTGCTGATCATCTGGTCTTTCACTTCTTGAGTAAATTTCTCGATCGGTTTTTTATTTTTTGTCCTCTCGTTAGCGGCGTTGTGTTCGATCTCAAACATTTTGTACTCGGCATTCACTGCATTCTCCAAAGCGTCCAGTCTGCCTCGCCGTTCCAACGAAATTTGTCGAACTTCTCGTAGTTCTCTTTCAAGTTCTTCCAACTGTTTTGAAACTGATTTCACGTTCTCGCAGATATCCGATTGTTGATCGATGACAGAACGAATATTGCGAGTTCGATCCCTGATTAGTTCCTCAGTTTCTGCTGTCCGCACCGGCTCGGGGTCGAGTCTTCTTTCACCACCGAACAGGGCTTGTCTGTCGCGCTTGAATTTGCTGAGGTAGTCTCCGAAACTGGCCGTCTCATCATCATGGTCGTGTCCGTTCTGCTGGCTGGTGGTGTCTTTTTGAGTTTGTTTCACTTTCTTGTGCGATTCGATAGATGGTTTTTTAACGTTCGTAACATCTTGCAAATCGTAATCGTTCGTAAATGTTTTTATTCTATTTTTGCCTGTCAACAGTCTTTCTATATCCTCATCGGTTATGCTTCCGTTCGCGAAACCATTCTCTTTCGGATCTTTGTCAATTTTTTGGCGCTCCAATTTCTTCTTGGGTGGTACTTTTCTATCTTCTTCGTTCAGCGTTGCCACTTTATCTGAAGCCTTAACGCTTGAATTTTCCTGCTTTTTTGAAAAATAATTGTTGATTTCTTCCAACTCTTTATCAACGTCAAGCTGTTTGGCGTCAGTGTTTTTCGATTTCTTCCCTTCATTCAATGCTTTCGATTTGACTTCTTTGCTTGCTTTGACACTAACATCTTCTGTTTCAAGAACTTCTTTCTTCTTTTCAATTGTCGTTGTCGTCTTCTTTTCCTTGCTTGCTATGGGAGGCTTTTTGGATCTTTCCTTGTTTTCGTTCTCTTTTTCTTTCTCTTCACGAGCCTCAGCTAATATTTTTTTAATAAAATCGTCCATAGATTTTCTCCTGTACGTAAAATCTGAATCCTCATTTTCCAAATCTGTAATTACAGTTTTTGCTTCCCATTCCACACTTTCTGAATCTATTTTTGCAATGGAATTTTTTGTTGTTGCGTCATCTCGCTGGGTGATTTCAAATTTTGGTCTCTGCTCTTTCTCCACCGTTGGTATGTCGTCTTCAGAAGGCGTTAATGCTTTCAAATAATTTCTCGTCTGCTCGATTCTTCCAGCTTGTTCCTTCTTTTCAGAATCTGAAACAGGCGACTTGCTTTTGAATCTTTGAAATTCATTCTGCAGATCGGCCAATTTCGTGTTCAACGGTTTCTCTTCTTGTTCTAACTTTGCTATTTTTTCCGGTTCTTTTTCTTTCTCAATGGGTTTTATCGGTTCAGAAACTGATTTTGTTGTTATATTGAAAAGTTCGTTGTCAACTTTAGTAGAGTCATCTGGAACTGCGGTGTTATTCAGTTCTTTATTGCTAGACGTTTGTGGATCAACCTGTGAAACAACTGTCAATTCTTTCGAAGCTTCATTGGACACTGATTTTTCCACAATGGCTTCTTTTTCTTCAAATAACTTAGTCTCTTTTCTAACTTTTTGTTCAATTTTTTCTGATATCTGAATTTGTTGTTGAACTTTTTGTTCGCTTTCTTCGGTTTTCTGAGTTTCTTTTTTATCCTTTTCATCAACTTTTGTTCCGACAGCTTCAATTTTTTTTGAATCAATCGCCTCGCCGACAAATTTTAAATTTGATAATTTTTCTTCCATATTAATTTTTTCATCATTTTTTTCCTTAAAATTTGCGTCAGCGATTTTTTTCTTTATGGAAGTTTTGATTCTCGCTTCATCTTTTTCCGATGGCAGACCTGGCACCGTCGATTTCAAAATTTCTTCGACTTCGTCATCTTCTTTCTCTGCGTTATTAATCTTAATGTCGTTTGTGATGTTACCTGATGATTTCGCGCCAGTTTCCACAGAACTTTTCAAAAGTTTGGAATCAAGTTTGCTCTCGTGAAGTTCTATTTTTGATTCAGATTTTATAGTTTTATTAATTGCTGGCAGCGGTTCTTTAAATTTGGCGTCACTTTCATTTTTTAAAAAAAGCTCAGGTTCTGGTGGCTTTGATGTTTTCATTTCGGTTTCTACAGCGCCTACTTTCGTTTCAACTCCAAGACTGATTTCATTCTTTATCTCACCAGGTTTGATGTCTCTTTTCAAGATGTCCTCGACGATGCTAGTAGCACTGCCCTTCTTATCGACTATCTTGCTGGTGTCACCACTGATGCAGCTGATGTTGTTACTGCTGCTACTAACGTCTGTTGTAGCATTGTTGAGGCGGCTGTTTGTAGTAGCGGTAGTGGCAGTAATGGTTGTAGTAGCTGTGGCGGTTGTAGCAACGGTAGTGGCTGGGGTGGCAATGTTGTTTGATTGCAGTTTAACGGTGACAGTTTTGACACCATCCTCTTTGGCATCATCATCATCTTCCTCTTCCTCCTCCTCTTCTTCGTATTCATATTCTACTTCTTCGTACTCTGAAACTTCTTCCTCTTCATCCGTCTCGAAATCGACATCATCGTCTTCAATTTTTGGAGCGCTCATCTTTTAAAGCCTGGAAAACGATTTTTTTTTTATTATTATTTCCTCGATTAACTTTCAATAAAATTTCAAAATCATCTAGCTATGGTGAAGCTATGCTGAGATGGTGAAGGTGATAGAAATGATGGTGATGATAACGACGACGATGTTTGTGATGCTGATGGTGATAACGATGGTGATTATTATTTAAAAATATTTATCTATGTGTAATTTATTAATGTATGTGTAGCTAAAATAAATTTTCAGTTTTATTGCTTGCACGTTGCAAGCTAAATAACATGTATAACATCATTGCTAATAAACAGTATATAAACCCGATTTTTTTAACAACAAAAACAAATATAACAACAAACTGATCAAATAAACTAACAAACTTATTAAAATATAAAATAAAAATAGATAAAAAATCAAATAAAAAAAAATAAAATCTTGAAATGAAATCAAAAGAAATGAATGGAGCAGCGGGAATGGGATCTGCATGCTGTTGCTTGAACTCGCGCAGCTTGCAACTCTACATGCAGTTAGTATGCCAAGATAGAACAACAACAATAATAAAAATATCATAATACAATTTTATGATAATTACTCTAATTTAATATTCTTCCTCTCAATATTAACGATTTTAATTTCAAAACATTAAAAGAAAAAAAAAAGTACTCTCACTTTTGAGACTCCTTATCTCTTTCCTGGCGGAAGAGAAGATGTAAAAACTTTAACTGTGTGTGTACATCATCATCATCTTCTTTTTCATCATCGCCATCTTTTAACAGCAACAGCAATAAATGCATTATATATGTATATACATACACACATACATACATATATACGTACATACGTACATACACAAATACATACATACATACATACATACGTACGTACGTACAGACAGACAAACAGACGTACAAGCGTATTCTTGAAATTTTATACATACATCACATATTTATGTAGGCTTTTTTATACCATATCATCATTCACACTTTTTATAACTCTTGTTTTTAATTGACATTATTCGTACTCTTTACTTTAATTTTCATCTAAAACTCTGATAATGCAACACACGTACGCAAACACTTTACACCCGCACATACACTTGCACACACTTTACACATGCACACGCACACAATTATTTTACACACAGGCGCACACACTTTTTACACATACACACGAACACACACTATTTACACACACACACACGAACAAACACACGGTTACGTCAATATTCCCATAGGCCATTTTTTATAGATTAGCTCAGCTCTGTTCCTAACTTACCTATATTCATTTGGCTCAGCTCAGGCTCTAACTTACCTGTGTTCAATTGGCTCAGCTCAGTTCCTAACTTACCTGTTTTCAACTGGCTCAGCTCAGTCTCTAACTTACCTGTGTTCAATTGGCTCAGCTCAGTTCCTAACTTACCTATGTTGTTTAATCATTCCTCACTAAAATAAAGCAGGGAATGTTAGAAAAAACAATGTGCCGAAATAAATGTGAATGTGAATTAAAATGAAAGAATACTTAATCTTCTTGCGTGATGTGTTTCTGTTAAATCATGTATGTGTTCATGCTAGCATGTATTTGTGTATGTTTGCGTGCATGAAATTAAATTAAAAAACTTTTAAATGTCAAGATCGGTTCCTCTGGTGGGTTTTTGTCAAATGAAAAACATTATGTATGTGATTGTATACGTGCTTATGCATGTGTTCATGTTAGCGTGTATGTGTACATGTTTGTGTGCATATATTTGCTTACGTGGATGTGCATGTAAGTAGAATATATGAAAAATTATCGATAAAACACATATATTAGGATTTTATATTGAAAAAAATATTAATTTCTTAAGTTTGGAAAAAACTTTGAAATCTTGAAAATAAAAAAACTTTATTTTTTTAATATTTAATTAATTATTTTGATAAGATTCACTCATACATAATCCATTTTCTCTCAGAGTATAAACAATTTACAAAAAAAAATCATCAAACAATAAAATTCTTTTATGCCGTCATTATAAGTTTAATAAAAATAATATTTACACATCAAAATTCAATATTTTATCCAATAAGACATTACAATGGACTGAAAAAAACTTTTTAAATGAAAATTATTCCATGTGTATACTTCAATTACTACACCATTTGGTACTATTGTTAATTTATTATATTCACGATCTTCTGTCTTACTTACCGATTTTATTTTCTTAAAATTCTCTAAAAAAAAAGTAACAAGATGTCGGCAAGTCTGGTCGAATCAGGAAAAACTGAGCGTTTTACGACCGAAACGACGGCCAAACCATTTGTTAGTGTATTTAAAGTTTTCCATTTTTGCCGTTCATTTTGATTTAAACATTTATTTTAATTTAAATTTCACGTTGGTCTGTGGTGTGATTTTTTTGTTTCATCACTCTTGCTTGTTTGTTGTTGTTAATCATCATGGAATGTTTTTTAGTGCTTATTTTGGCTCATTTCTGATTATAAGACGCAGTTTGTAGTTTTCAATATGGCGTCTTAATTTAACCTAACTAAAGAAAATCTTTTGAATCAATCAATTTATAACTTTAAAAGCCATGTATTTTTATTGTAAATTTTTATATTAAAGAATAAATTATATAAAATGAATATTTATTTTTTAAAATTTTAATTAATATAATAATTATTTTAAAAATGACACTTGGAACCCAGAAAGTTGAGAAGTTTGGAGTACCAGAGCCTATAAAATCAGAGGGGCTCAAGCAATATTATGTCACAAAAATTGAGGAATTACAGGTAACTATTTAAAATTTATTTTTAATAAATATTTTTATTATTTATTTATATATTTAATATAAAACATTTGTATATTTTTTATTTATTTTTAACAAATTGTAAATATATTTATTAGATATTATTTTTAAATTTACTAATCAGCTGATAGTTGCAGAGAAAATTCAAAATCTCAGACGATTAGAAGCCCAAAGAAATGAACTTAATGCTAAAGGTGCTATATGCATATTGTGTACTTATTGTGTACTTGCTTATTTCACTTTTACACAAAATCTTTTCACACTAATGGCAGAGTAATAAAATTATTTTATTTATTATTTGAAATGTTTGATTAAAATTCTCTGCAGTGCGTTTATTAAGAGAGGAACTACAATTGCTTCAGGAGTCCGGGTCGTACGTAGGTGAGGTTGTCAAGGCAATGGATAAGAAGAAAGTTCTCGTAAAGGTGATTTTATAATTTGTCATGTGATTGATTGGTTGGTTGACTGATTGTAGTAGGAAGTTTATGATTTATGAATTACTGGTTGGTTGAATAACTGTTAATCTTTTCTGAATTAGTTACTGAATGAGTGATTGATGTTATGAATAAATGAACAATTGATTTGTTGATTGATTGGTTGATTGATTGACCACTAGGTCCATCCAGAGGGCAAATTTGTAGTTGACATAGACAAGAACATTGACATAACTGATGTGACACCGAATTGCAGAGTGGCGCTAAGAAGTGACAGCTACACATTACATAAAATATTGCCTAATAAGGTTGGGTTTTGAAATATAGATGGATTTGTTTTCATATTTCCATCATCATCCTCATCACCATCTTCGTCCAAATAATTCAGGTGGACCCCCTTGTGAGTCTAATGATGGTGGAAAAGGTACCTGACTCAACTTACGAAAATGTAGGGGGTCTCGATAAACAGATTAAAGAAATAAAAGAGGTCATTGAACTACCTGTCAAACATCCTGAACTTTTTGATGCTCTTGGCATTGCCCAGCCTAAGGTCAACCTTTCTGAACAATTGACCTTTGAGTTGATCTTTCAAATGGCCTTTTCATTGATCTTGTATTAATAATCTTGCTGAAAATAATACAATAATAGTTATAATTTTTTGCAGGGTGTGTTGTTATATGGACCTCCTGGTACTGGCAAGACCCTGCTAGCCAGGGCTGTTGCCCACCACACTGAATGCACCTTCATAAGGGTGTCAGGGTCAGAGCTGGTTCAGAAGTTTATTGGTGAGGGCTCAAGGATGGTCAGAGAGTTGTTTGTTATGGCCAGGTTTGCGTCTGTGCTTGTGTGTGTGTGTGTGTGTGTGTGTGTGTGTGTGTGTGTGTGTTTGGATTTGGGTTGATTGTCCCATTTCATATCATGGATCACTCTCTTTCACTATATAGATCCTAGATCATTATCTTTATCATTATCTTTATTATTGTCTTCACCATCTTGGTCATTAAATTGCTATTATTGTCATTATTAATAATATTATTATTGTTTTTGTTGTCGTTGTGGTTAGGGAGCATGCCCCATCCATCATCTTCATGGATGAGATCGATTCTATTGGTTCAGCCAGATTGGAAGGGGGCTCTGGAGGTGAGGTGTGATTGGTTGGGCGATGTGCTTGGCATAATTTGCTGGCAAATGAATTGGTGAATTGGTGAATAAATAAATGAAAGAAGTAGTGGGAAAATGAATGATTGAATGAATACTCAGGAGACAGTGAAGTACAGAGGACAATGTTGGAACTTCTCAATCAGTTGGATGGTTTTGAACCCAAACAAAACATCAAGGTAGGTCGGTTGGTTGATTGGTTTAGTGCTTGGGTGTTTGAGGGGTTGATTGCTTTCATTATCATCGTTATCCACTTAAATATTACCATCTTTATCCTAAAAAAAACATCACCACCATCATCATAATCTTCGTGTCACATGTCAATCAATCATCCAGGTGATCATGGCCACGAATCGCATAGACATATTAGACTCCGCCCTCCTCCGACCCGGAAGGATAGATCGAAAGATCGAATTCCCCGCTCCAAACGAGGAGGCCCGACTCGACATTTTGAAAATCCACTCGAGAAAGATGAATCTAACCAGAGGGATTAACCTGAGGATGATTGCCGAGATGATGCCCGGTGCCTCCGGTGCCGAAGTCAAGGTTAGGATTAGGGAATTCTGAATATCTGAATTTTTGTAATCTCCATTGTTCTTTTATCAGTTTCATCTTTGTAGTCTAACTTTCTTTTATTATGATTTTTTATAATTATTATTTTTTATTATTACATTTGATAATAATTATGTTCAGTTGTAATAAATTGTAATATAAATTATTCTTTCGTTTTTTTCGTAAAGGGTGTGTGCACTGAAGCTGGAATGTATGCCTTGAGGGAGAGGAGAGTCCATGTAACACAGGAAGATTTCGAATTGGCTGTCGCTAAGGTCAGTTTGTTTGATTGGACTGGATTGGCTGGTTGCTTTGATTGGTCGGTTGCTCTGATTGGTCGTTTGGTTTGATTGGTCAATGAATTAGCTTGAATTGTTTGAATAATTATACCATTTATTACTGTTATTAATTATAGTGTTAATACAAATAACTATAATAAAAATTTGTAAGAACTTAAAATTGTTTTAAAACTTTTCAACAGGTTATGCAGAAAGACAGTGAGAAGAACATGTCTATAAAGAAACTTTGGAAATAATATGATGACGATTTATTATTATTATTTCTATTATTATTCATTTTATTATTCTTATTTCTTCTTATAATTATTATTATTGTTGAGGATGTTATTAATTTTTCAATACTTTTACTTCCTTAATGACAATGACAGATGTCTAAGTTGATTCGATTGGTTGATTGCTTATGTTTGCGTCTGTATGTGTGTGTGTGTATGTGTGTGTGTGTGTGTGTGTGTGTGTGTGTGTGTGTGTAACTATATATAAGGTTTGTAGGCAGATACACAATGAAAATGAATAAACAATACATTCAAACACATAGACATGTATGCATACGTATATACGCAAATTTACATTTTTAGGAATTTTGAATTAAAAATATTTTATTTTTGTCCGGAAATTGTCTTATTATTAATATCATTGATTGATTGATTGATTGGAGATTGAAAATATTAACAGATCATTTTTAGGATTGTTTGGTAATTAAAATTAAGCAACTGTTGATGACTATGATAAGTTTCGGTTGTATGTCTTGCTGTGACTAACAAGCAAAAAGTTAACATTGTTTCTTATGTTTGTATGTCTTTTTTTGTATTTCGGATTGTATCTATGCTTGGATGATGTTTTGTATGTATGTTTATTTATGTATGTATGTGGGTTTTGTATGTAAGCATGCTTGTGCTTGGATGTCTTGTATGTTTGTATCTTACGTTTGTATATCTTGTAACTGAGCTCTATCATTTGTTTATCATTCTCAATTTTTTAAGTTCTCGTATTTAAAAAGAAAAATTCGAATGAAACTTTAAAAAAATTTGAATGAAATAATTTGAATAATTCGAATAATATTTATAAAAATATTTAAAATGGCTCCATTATGGCAAGAAACTTTGAACCGGAAACAACTCGTTACTGAATTAACTTATTATTATTTATTGTCACCATCATCGTCGTCGTCTCCATCATGAATATTTCGTGAAATTGGTGTCGATGGCTTGAGGAAATATACCGTCCTGTATGCCGCTGGACTAAGGCCTGGCACTAATATATGGTTGATCGATCGATTGATTGATTGACTGCTTACGGTTAGTTGATTGATTGATCAATTGGTTGAATTTGATTGATTGAGTGATTGACAAAGAAAAACGACGAAAAAATTGTTACCAATTCCATTGGCGGCAGTCTGTTCTCTGACGAAAGTCTCATCTAGAAAGGCGTTATCAGGAAGTCGTGACATCTGGCGACTGGTGGTTATTGGATAGGCCTTCATTTCCGGTGGACCTGGGATTGAAAATTCCGGATGTGTGTCCGGATTATTTAATTTGTATAGTACAGTTGGTCAATCTGTCAATCATTTAATCCGTCAGTCAGCCCATCAGTTTATTGATCATCATTCAGTCAACTAACCAATCAGCCATTCACTTAACCAACTAGCCAACCAATCAACCAACCAATCAATCAATCGAATCAGACGAATTTTCATACTCACAGACAGAGAGTCTGACAGTGAGCTGATCTGCACATATTTTCTCAACTTTCTTACAAAGAGTCCAAGGGTTTTCGGTCAACCCGTCCTCCTTTTGGGGCTTGTAATAATTATAATTAATATTATATTTATAATTGTATAATATTATAATCTTAATTATATAATTAAGATTATAATTTTTTATAATTATTATTATATATCGTTATTAAAGAATTTATATGGAGTTTCTTAAGTAGTGTTGTTGTTGATTTCTATAACAATTTATTCATTCTCAATTTTGTATTCCGTTCAATCATTCGTTTGTACATTTGTATGTGTGTGTATGTGTGTGTTTATGTATGTGTACGTGTAGTTTTATTTTATAAATAAACATTCTGAAATTTATATTTTTAACACTGGAAACAGTAAAAAAAATTAAAGAGCTTAGGTACATACACGCATTGCGAGAGAGAAAGAGGGAGAGAGAGAGAGAGAGAGAGAGAAGAAACGTTGCAATCAAAACAAACCAAAAAAATTAATAAAAAATATTTCCAAAGAATAAAAACTGCTAATAATAGTGCAAAGAAATGATAATAAATTACTGAAAAACGACGAGGAGAAAATGTTTTTAAAAAAATGTTTCGCTATAGTTGTAGAAATGAATTTGTGCGTTCTTTTCATCGCCGCGTGATTAATGATGATGATGTTTTTGTAATGCCGTTACGTATGTGTTGATGAAAATGATGAAGATGATGCTGTCGATACAGTGGCTGTTGATACTGCTGCAGCTGCTTTTACAGCAGCTGATGATGCTGCTGCTACTACTGCTGCCGCAGATGATGACAACGACGACGATGATGATGATAATTGGTATTGAGAGATATACGATAAGAGTGTTATTGGAATATTTCTTATAATTATCTTCTCAATTTCATCACCTATACCAGCGTCGTCATCATCATCATGCATCACAAGTTCATCATCATCATCACCACCACCACCATTACAATCATCATCAGTATCATCATCTCATCACCATCGTCGTCGTCGTCGTCATCTTTTCCATCAAAACCTTGAAACCCGGATTAAATGCTATCAAATTTACAACATCCACCACCATCATCATCATCGTTCCCATTATCATCATCGTCCCCATCATTCTTATCATCCTCACCATCATCACCTCAAGGGCTGGGCGAAGTTTCACAAAATTTTCAGCCCAAGGATTCACGACCTCGTCATGGTTTGGATGATATTTAGTTAGGTACTCAGTCCTTCCGAGCTTACATTGCTTAGTACGTACGTTAGCCATCTTCTAAATACTAATCCTTACAAGTGAATTTAGCATACATTTACAATGGAGTTACTGATTTTTATTGTAAATTTTGTAATTTTTACAGTCAAATTACTTATTCTTCGCAGTAAAATTACAAACGTTTACATTAAAACCATTTAAGTTTCGGTTTCTGTTTTAAAATCAATATTCATAGAACATTGTATACATAATATGTGTGTATATATTTATGTATACAAACAATGATGTAAACATAAACAATGCATTTTTTTCCATTACCGCTGTGGTATCTATGTTTGATGATCCAATTACTTCCAAAATAATAATAATATTAATAATAATAATATTTATAATAACAATATTTATAATAACAATATTTATAATTCTCATGTTATGTGTTATTATTACTCTACATTGAATAAATAAATTGACTTATAGAAGAAAAAATTTATCTGGTGCATCTAACTCACACGCAGACACACAGACACACATAGACACAAAAACACAAACACAAGAGAGAGAAAGAGAGAGAGAGAGAGAGAGAGAGAGAGACGCACCCATATAAATATATAAATATACAAACATACATACAGTATTGTATGAACTCTACCGAATTGTTGGCATTAATCAATTTGAAGTTTGCTTTGCATTAATCAATTCATAGTTTGACTTTTCAATTTTAATCCATGGTAGAAAAAATTGAAAAGACAAATTTTGAATTGATTAATGCCAACAATTCGGTAGAATTCATAAATTAAAAAAATATGGTCTCCATCCATCATTGTATATTCCCACACACACACGCACACACACGCATATTATATATATATACATATATATATATATATATATATATATATACATATACATATATATATATATATATATATATATATATATATATATTCAACCTTGATTTGACATTCTTACGCCCTTCGGGAATGAAAGATAAAACGTAAAAGAAGAAATGAATAATAATTAATAATAAAAAATAATAATAATAAAAATAATAGAAATATAAAATTTTCTCAGATAAGTTATCGCTTAAATGAATTTTTTGTTTGTTTTTTATATTCATACGCCTGCTAAAAAAAATTCTCTCATTATTATTTATAACTGATTTTGTAGCAGTGGTAGTAGTGGTAGTAGTAGTAGCAGTAGCAGCAGAAGCAGCAGCAACAGCAGCAGTAGTAGTAGTAGTAGAGAGTGGAATCTTTTTAAATTATTTGTTTCGTATTATTTCAAGGAAGTATTTTCTTAAATCGTTGTAGAGTTGCAGTGATATTTTTTCGAATGTATGTATTTCTCTTTCTCTCTCTCTTCATTTCTCGCTTTCTTCATTTCTCTCTCTCTTTCTCACTCTCTCTCTTTCTCTCTCTCTCTCTTCTCTCTCTCTCTTACTTTTTCAATTCGTTTTCAATTTGGAACACTTGATAACAAGATGATGGCGACGATGATGATATGATGACGGTGATGATAATAATGACTGTAGAAAATAATCTCTCTCTCTCTCTCTCTCTTTCTCTCTCTCTCTTTTTCTCTATTTTTGTTTTTTTTCTCTCTCTCTTTCTCACTCTCCCCCTTTCTCTCCTCTTCTTTCTTTGTCTAACTCTCCGTTCATTTGTTTTTAATTTAAAACACTCGAAAAGATGATAACGATGATGTCTGGTGTCTATTATTGTTGTTGTTGCTGTTGTTGTTGTTGCTGCTGTTGTTGTTGTTTTTGTTGTTGTTACTGTTGTTGTTGTTTTTGTCGTTGTTGTTGTTTATGATACGAAAATAATGATTAAGAGTTAAGCACCCATCATAGTACATATGATGGATTCTGATGATTCTGATTAGATGACGACGAAAATGTTTGCGATAATAAAAGTAATAAGAGGATAAAAGCATACAAAGAAATAATAATTTAAGAAAAAAAAACACTCTTTTTTGTTTTTAACTGTAATAAATTGTATTTTTTCGATATCCTAATACATACACACTTACAATTGGAAGCGGAAAAACAAACATGTAACTGACACCATGATCGTGTTTGTTTGTAAGTGTGTTTGTATGAATTTTTGTTTGTATGTATGTTTGTATGTATGTATGTATGTGTATGTATGTGTGTATGTATGTATGTGTGTGTGTGTGTGTTTGTTTGTTTGTGTGCATTTATGTGGATGCCTGTTTTGAAACACCATTTTATCAAATTAAATATTCATTCATTCGTTCGTTCGTTCATTCATTCATCCATTCATCCATTCATTCATTCATTCATTCATCATATTTTTCCACCGATCTTCCCAACAAAACCCATTTTACAATCATTTTATTATTTTCCAAGATACACAAAACGAACATAAAACACGAAGGCACATAAAAATGCATAAACGTAAATACAAACATACATACATGAACCACACATAGATACAAACATACACACACACACACACACACACACACAGAGATACACACAGACACACAAACACACACACAAACATCTTTTAGTACATTTACAGCGTATAGCTGCTAAATGCAGTTTCAACTTTTCCCAGTGTTCTGGCATACCTTCATACCAGCGTACTATGTACGTATATGTGTGCGCGTGTGTGTTTGTACGTGCGTGTGCGTGTGTGTATGTGTATGTGTGTGTGTGTGGGTGTGTGTGTGTGTGTGAATATATGTGTAGGCGTGCATGCAAGCAACAATTTGAAGATAACATACCTTAATGATGGGAAAGTAAAATGTTACCTTTTGCATTAAAATATGGACATACATAAATAAATAAATACATACATGCATACATACATACAAACATACATGCATACATACATACATACATACATTCATACATACATACATACATACATACGTACATACATACATACATACATACATACATACATACATGAAAATACAAGTATTAATATAACGTACAAAAGTATTCATATAAGTATTGATTAAGTTTGCTTTAAGCAATTGAAATAAGATTGCAATGAAATTTTATGCGTTCCATACATAAATGCATGCGTATATTTTTTCATATACATATATACTTTCATAAATATACATACATATATACATACATACGTACATACATACATACGTACATACATACATACATACGTACATACATACGTACGTACGTACGTATGTATGTACGTATACATACATACACATACATACATACTTACATTCGTAAATATACTTATACAGCAATTCTTAGCACTTCCTACATTAGATAACTCAAACATACATAACTTCCTCTCTCTCTCTCTCTCTCTCTCTCTCTCTCTTCCTTTCCATCTCTCCTCTACATTCTCTCCTTCCACTCTCAGCATCTCTCTTTGCGAAATCGACACGCAAAGCTTTAAGAGATAAATATAAAATGTATAATAGCATCGCCCTTACTTTTTAAACTTCACTATCTCACAAAATTTTCGCGAAGTATTTTGCTCCCTCCCTTTCTGCTCTTCACTTTCTCTTTTTCATACTCTCTTTCCTTCTGCTCCTCACTATCTCTCGCTCTTTCTTGCCTCTTTTAGGCTTTTTGATTAGGTAGATAAATTTTAGAAGAAGTTATAAGGAGGTTTGTGAGCTTTCGAGGTGAGGATGGTTTGAAAGTTTTTTTTCTCTGTAAAATTTTGTATTCTTTGCTAGGAGTTTTTAGATTTTTAATAAAAGAATTTTTTTCTTTGTTGTTTGTTTATTTTTTTGGAGGAATTCAATCAAAAATTAAAAATTTAGATAAAATTTTTTCATTTAATTGGAAGATTTCTGCGTTTTGAAGCAGCATCCGGTTCTGTAACTTTGGTTAGTTAGAGGTTATATAACAGTAGTGATAACGATGATGATAAAAATGATGACGATGACGACGACGATGATGACGACGACTATGAATACGTTGATTAGGATGATGACGTCATAAAGGTAGTGACGGTAATACCGACCAAAGTAATAATAACAATGCTTGTGATGATTGTTTTGACGATGACGTCATAACAAAAGTGTTGACGGAAGTGATAATGATGATGATGATGATGCTGATGCTGATATTTTTTGTTTATTTACAGCATCTTAGAAGAGCCAGTTAACCAGACAAAAACTGACAATGGTTGACCTCGCTTCAAATTTACTCAAAAAAATTTTTTTAAATTTGTTAAATATTTAAGGAGATACATTTTTATAGATAATTAATCATAATTTATGTAATTATTGCAGTTATAATTATAACCCAACGTTGATAAAACTAAATTATTATTAATTAAATTATTATTAATTAATTTTAAAGGGCCACAAGGACGAAAAGAAAGAGAAAGACGAAAAGAAAGAAAAGAAGGAAAAGAAAGAAAAGAAAGAAAAAAAGGCGGAAGAAGAAGCAGCTCCTACACCAGCTGCTGAGCCTGCTCCTGCAGCGGCTGCTGAAGAGGCAGAAGAAGCAGAACCGGAAGTTAAAAGTGAACCTAAACGCAAACACGTCGGAAATGTTTTTGCTCTCTTCAACCAATCTCAAATTCAGGAATTCAAAGAGGTGATGACGACGATGACGACGACGATGGTGATAATGATGATGATGACGATGATAATGATAATAATAATAATAATGGTGACGATGATGACGACGATGATGACATCATTCACATTATGAACAACAAAAATGTTAATCGCAATGGCAACAACGACGCATCCATGATAAGAGAAAACATCGATAATATGATATGACGTGTATGATGACGTAGAAAGAATAATAAATGAAATCTTCATTTCTCCACTCCAACTATCCATCCATCCATCCATCAATCCATCGTCCAGGCGTTCACAATGATCGATCAGAATAGGGATGGAATCATTGATGCCGACGACTTAGCAGCCATCTACCAGCAAATTGGTGACGGCATTTTTAATTTTCCATCCATCTCGTTTCGTATAAATTGCGCTACATAAATACAAAGATCTATAAATTGTATTCTCTATAAATAGGGTGATTCCTAATCTTTAAAAAAATCTTTGGCCCCCAACTGAGATGGCAATGATGTATAAAGTTACACTCAAATTTTTAAAGTTAAACAAATAAAAATGTTAAAAAAATGGATAAATCGATGAATGAATTGTTAAGAAAAACATTAATAAACAACAAAAATAACCAAAATGACAGGAAATAAGACAAACATTGAAACCAAATTTCAAAAAACTTCCTTCGTCGCTAGGTCGCGAAGCAGATCCAAAAGTACTGAAGGAGATGTTGAAGGAGTGTCCCGACAAGCTGAACTTCACTCACTTCCTCACCCTATTCGGAGAGAAACTGCACGGTCGGTATCGCGAGTTAATTAATAAATTATGTTAATTAATTGGTCAACTAACTTACAAATAAATTAATAAATTATGTTAATTAATTGATCAATTATCTTACAAATAAATTAATAAATTATGTTAATTAATTGGTCAATTAACTTGAATTGTATGGCTATTGTATGAAGGTCACCAAATATAATGGTACCTAATGAGTCTGGTCTTGGGTTAGGTTTCAGAGAGATTTCATACTTTCGTACGTTATGAAATGTATGATGTTACACGCCTGCTCATTGTAAAACCTCAAAAAGCTCATTAAAAATGGCGCTATAAAAATCGGATTATTTTATTTGTTAGGCGTGTTGGTTATTTACGTCAGTTGGTTTATCTAGGTTAGTTTCTCGGGTTGATAATATCTGGGTCAGTTTATTTTTCAAATTTTATTTTTTATGTCAGGTACCGATTCGGAAACTGCCCTGAGAGATGCCTTTTCAATGTTTGACGAGGAGAAGAAAGGGAAACTCCACGAAGAATAGTGAGATGATGATGATGGGAATGATGAGGATGCTGACGCTGCTACAGCTGCTGCTGCTGCTGGCGAGAATGATGACAAAGATGATGGTGGTGGTGATGATGTTGAAGATGATGGTGATTAAAATGATGATGCGTTATCAACAATAACAGCTTCAAAGAACTTCTCACCAACGTCGGAGACCAGTTTTCGGCTGCTGAGGTTGGAGTAACATTCTCACTCATTCATTCATTCATTCATTTACTCATTCATTCTGTTATTCATTCACTTATTCATTCGTTCATTTATTAATTCACCCATTCATTAATTCACTCATTCTTTAACTCATTCATTCTTTCATGCATTCCTTCACTCATAAATTCATTTGTTCATTCATTCATTCACTCACTCACTCACTCACTCACTCAGATCAAGCAGTTATGGAAGGAGCTGCCAATCGAGGGAGGCATGTTAGATCACCAAAAACTCGTCAGGATCATGAAAAGAGGAAATGATGATGAATAAGATGATGATGATGATGACGACGATGACAAAGATGGTGATGATAGGAATGATGATGAAAAAGATGATGATGATGACAATGATGGTGATGATAAGAATGATGATGATGACGACGAATGATGGTAATGATATTGTTGATGATGATAGTGGTGTTTGTTATTGGAATGATGATGATGATGATGGTTATAATGACGTTTGCAATAGTGAAATGCTGATGATGATGCTGATGATGATGATGATGACGAGGGGCAAATGAACGAAACAAAAAATTTTTCAAGAAAATTTTTCACATGAAGTTTATAGTCATACCTTTGTCTACATAGTATCATTGCTGTTGTTATTATTACTACTATTATTTTATACTTATTATTATTATTTATTATTATTATTGTTGTTTATTATTATTATTGTTGTTGTTGTTTTTATTATTATTGTTGTTTTTATTTTTTTGAAAAGTTTGTAGTCACTACTATACAATATATAATCTCAAGTGCATATTGAGAGAGAGAGAGAGAGAGAGAGGGGGGGAGTTTTTTTTTCTATCCTAATAAACAAACATAACAACAATAATAATAATAATGAGATAATAATATAATAATAATAATATAATACTAAAATAATAATATAATAATAATAATGGTGACATTGATAACAATTATTATCATTTATTATTTTTATTCTCGTTCATAAGCAGCCAAATAGTGTTTCGCCAATCACCTCAGAAAATAAACTTCGATTAAATAACATTTATTATTATTATTAGTAGTAGTAGTGGTAGTAGTAGTAGTAGTAGTGGTAGTGGTAGTAGTATCATTATTAATATATTTAAATATTAACCTTAGCCCAGTAAGCACACAAAAAAATTTGTGTGTATATTAAAATATTTTAAAAATTATATGATTAAATATGGTTAAGGATGATGATAATCAGCACCGCCATCGTTATAAGCATCTTCATCATCATTCTCATCATCATCTTCTTCTTCGTCGTCATCATCATCATAGTATTTGTCAAAATTATCGCTATCATCACCAACGTTTCTACGTGTTGGTCCTTTCTTGTGACGCGAAAGCTCATCATCATCATCACCACCACTCTCATAGCTACTATTATCATTACCACCGTCATCATTATCATCATCATTCTTACCGGAACCGTATCCATCATGGTCATCATCATCATCATCCTCTCCATCACTATCACCAATACTTCTACGAAACTTTTTCGTCTGAGCGTTTTTGTGGCCTGAAAATTGGCCACCATTGCCGTCATTATCATGATCATGATCATCACCATCGTGATTATCATTATCATGATCGTCATCATCGTTATCGTAATGTTCGTAATCGTCACCACCACCACATACTCCTTTGATCTTTTCGTGGCACGATTCGGGCATTGTTATTATCAGACCACCCTTTGGATGAACTTTTATGGTGAAGCCTGTTAAATTATAATAAATTATAATTTATTATGATAATTACGTTCTGTAATTAGTCATATTTATTTAGGGTTTTTCATTCATTCGTTTCTTTTTTTTTCGTTAATTCAATCATGAAATGCTAGATAGAATTGGTTAGTTTATCCTGTGTAAATTCGTTTTTTAATCTATTTATTCATTAATTTAGTTTTCTATCTATCTAGCTATTGTTTCAATTGTTCGTTCAACCATTCGTTTGTTCATTCATTTCATCATTGATCCATCGATCCATCCATTAATTCATTCAGTCATCCGATCATCAAGTCCTACATCCAGCCATATAATGATTCAATCATCCATCCATCCATCCATCCATTCATTCGTTCATTCATACATTCATATAATAATTTATCATTGTATTTATTCATTCAGTAATTCATCATTGTATTTATTCATTCGGTAATTCATTCACAAATTCATTCACTCATTCATCAACAAAACAAACATCCAACCC